GGCAAAGAGGTCGCCATCCGTGGTATATCTTTAACGCACAGGAGTGGGGAAGGGTTTAAGGCATTTGCTTCAGGGCAGCTGATTGAAGTTTCAGTCAGTTACCCTGTAGCAATGTCTTACCTTTAATGACTTTGATGGCACTTTGACAAAGACTTCCAGTATTTACGGTCAATTTGATGCGTTCTAGTCCACTTCAGTACGTTGCTAGTGTACTTCATGAGAATGCAATTGAAGACCATGTCAAATATGTTTTTAACGTGGGAGAATAACATCGGTTATCTTACCCTATGTAGAACCCATACAGGTCAGTGCCCAGTGAAGTACTTTGAATCAATTAAATTACAACATAAAAACTATTGGTCCATCTAGAAGCATGGTTGAAATACCCCCTTCCAACCTTGACGGACGATGTCATTTTCGAGCGGCTCATTGAACTGTGACGAAGAGAGTGAGGCACTCTTATGACTTTCTCAAATTCTGGCATGATCGTGCAACAAGCATGAAACATATGGTCAATATATAGAACGCGAAGATAACTGGCTTTAAATGCGGTCATCGGGCCCCAACTTGGACGGTGGATCAAAGACCTTCCACTGTAGAGAAGTGCACTTATTTCAGTCGCTGCACTTGGCGTTGATGTAGTGCTGGAGGCTTTTGGGCTTATCTTGGATGTGAACTTAGAGGCGTGACCCCAATGGGCAGTCTTAATATGGATTTTCTCACACATTTGCTGCCTGTCCTCCGCTTGGCCCAGTCCCCCAGATGCCCAAGCCTCCAAATCATGATGTACGATGTGCCTTCACGCTGACAACCCTGCATTTGGAAGGGTCATACGGAGTTGCCTTGTTTTATTCAACTGTCTAGCCCACCTTTGTGTTGCGGCAATGATATCGGCAGAGAGATCTTCACCAAAGGCAATATCTTTGAAACGATAAGACGTAAAAATGACTTTATGGAAGTTGGGGTTTTAGCGAAGTTCCCGGCTATGGGTGGTCAGTCAGTTTGAATGGGAAATCCCGACGTTGAACTGAGGGCAGACGTGGGAGACATACAAATTAACTATCAGATGCTAGTCTTGGCTGTAAAGCCCCCAAATCCCATCTTCCGTTATCAGTGGTGCGTATCCCCCAGGAATTCTATCAAGTTACATAAACTATTTACAGTGTTGGTCGTTTCAATTTCTCAAATCTTGATTAAGGGTCAGTGCTGAACTGGACAAAGCTAAAAAGTGTTGTTGTTTTTTTTGCGCTCAATCCAGCTTTCACAAAAAGATTTTGTTTACGTTTTGCACGTTTTACGTTTTGAAATAATCCCCCATAACAACGTCCAAATTTAGAATTAACGTAATACTTTACTACACTGCCAATTCAGTAGTCATACAGTCGTAATTTCTACGGAAAAGAAAAGACCACAATAAAGATTAAACTTGGCAAAACTTACACGTACAGTATCACAAATCACATCTAGATGTATGCAACTCGTTATGCACCACCGTTCTGTCTTGATATTAGGAAAAGACTTCAACATGTTTTCATATGACGTGAAAAATCATTTCAGTAATATCTACAGACACCACTCCACACGTCTGGCTTGTAAATGTACGTTGGAACTGACAAATACAAACTGTTTCATCAACAAGAGAAGCAGTGGAGCAAACATACGGCTATTAAAACGACAACCATAAAAGATTTAGAGGTATTACTACGGTATTTTATAGGTAATCACAGGGATCATTGACTTGTATTTTACAAGAGTAATGCATCTCAACATCTTGTTGCAAATGAACCTATTGATCTAAGTGACTAGTTCATTATCAAGCAGCATGTGAGCTCTAAGAAGGCAGGTGTTCTAACCAGTACTCAACTGCTTGAGGCAGTGAGCATGGCATCAAACAATTGATGGGTGGGAAAACTTGATATGAAAAGTTAGAAGCAGCAAACTTGCCATCAGCTGAATTATATACGACATATGAATAGGCTTGGACGTCGACTGACTGGTAGACCGTAGCAGGTTGACATATTGACGTCAAAATAGTTTTATTCTCCGGCGGCATTGATTCTTTGATATGGAGTGTGACAGCGACATCACGTGCGGGGATGCACGAAGTTCTGTCAAAAACTTTTCCAAACTTTCACTAGATCGTCATAGTGGTCATCCCTACGACCCCATGTATACTGATGATCTCTAAATGGGTACATAACACAGCCTCATGCGGGCTGATTACTATATTCTTGCTATGTGTACGTAATTTGCCTTCAGTATGGCTGCACACGTCTCACGATAATTCAATTTTTCCAAAGTATGTTTTGCTAAGTAGTTTTCTGCGATGATACCAGAGATCTCATATGTGCATTTTAATGTAAAGTAATACATGTACGTGCATCATAATCACAGTATAACGGTAAACGCACAGAATGTGCTACATAGGCAAGTATCATCACGCTCACGCGGAAGGAATACACTCTAATGAAGAGGACGGCCGTTATTTCTTAAATTAATGGGTCAAGTCCTAATGAAGTTGTTCATATTCTGCACGGTGCTGGGCGAATCCTCTGTCCTCCTTGGGGCCGGGGCGTCAAACCACTGTAATTAAGTTACATACATGCAAGCTCGGCAAATCAGAATTTTGAAGCTTGATAATATGTTTAGAATTTAGAAATCTACTTCTAATGAGAAAGGTTGTAACGCCCATTGTATGACAAAAACGATTAAAACCCAATGTGCTTAATCTCACATTTATGATTAGAATCTTACATAAAAGCAATATATGCATACGAAATAAAAACTTGGTCTAGGCACATCTTATTTCACCCAAGTTCCTAGCAGAGTACCCTTGACCTCCGTCAGTGAAATGAATGGAAGGAAAAGTTTTACATCACCTTAGTGTTTACACTTCCCCCATTAGACCAGACCTTGGATTTCATCCATGTCAGCGACTGGATAGTTGAGAGACCTGCCTGCCTGGCAATCTATGAATCAGCCGAGATGGTGGATGGAGGTTGTGCCCTCACGACCAGAGAGATACTCTCATCTTAAGACTTCTAATTCTTCTGAGTCAGAAGAATGTAAAGGCCAAAAGTATCTTCGAACTTCAATAAGCAAAACTCATTCCATTCTCCTCAAGCTGAATTCGTCTTCCATCCGATTGGTTAAGGTTACAGCATCTCATCCGGTGAGGGATTGTGGTATTTTATTGACTTGTTTGTGCTTCTTCAATGTTGGAAAAAAGTAGAAAGGATTAGACTGAAGATACCGGCTTACGGTGAAGTTTATTCTGCTCCAAATCACACACATGGAGGGTCAGCAAGGTCATCGATAGTTGGGATACTTCAGGTCAAAGGTTGACCGCGGGAGTCAAAGCATACTGTCTGTTCCTGGGAAAATTTGTCCAAATGTATGGATCCTCAGTCGCTGCGAAAATTGAATGTGATCAAATTTACCGTAGTTTTATTCTAAACCTTATGCAAGACTATTGATCGTTGGCTGTTAGTAATGGCCAGGACTAGAAAACGTTGCTTGTCAGCGCATTGAATCACCAAACTCACCAGACTGTGTCTCAGCGTCCTCACCGTCTTCTTTAATCCCGCCCATCTATTGCTTACTGATGTTTACTGAAGGTGATAAGGAGTGTTGGACATTGCAGATAAGTTTACTCTTTGCTCGGAAAATAAACTTTGCAATGGTAAAAGATAATCTAATAAGCAAACTGTCAAACAGTGTGGCATGGCTAAAGCTACTAGTTATAACGAAGATATGTTTGTATAATCCCATTGCTATTAGAATTTGACACATGTGCTAACATCAACGCTAAGAATTAATAGTGGAGAAAGGTTGATGTAGTCCTCTTGTCGCCAATAAGACAGCCGCAGCCCAAGATGATCGCCAAAAATCAATGCGCGGTAACGGCAAAACAATTACTGGAGCATCGGGACCGCCTAAGGTGTTCCATGGGAGCCAAATCACACCCGTCTTGCGACTATAAATAACGAAATGCACATCTTTTGGCATGTAACAGTGGGCCGGTAAGACATCTCTGGGGCTTAATTTCCCATCTAAATGACATTGGGATTAGACAGTCTGGTAGGGAAATGATTGGGAAGGCCAGAAGAAACGAACACTTAATTCTAATTAGCAAACCGCCACCAGGCAAAGGAGAGTTCCTGCCGTATGTTACTGAAAAGTAACTAATGGAAGATTATTCTTTCTAGATGACAGTTATCTACGCTATAACATAAACTAAAACTAGCTATAAAGACTGGCTAGCTGTTAAACGTACTGCTTAATTGTCTACCCAGGTTGCAATTGGGTACAAACAAAAGGCACTCAGTGCCAGGACTGATGTTGTAAGTTTGTCAGTTTCAGATATGACTAGTGGTAATGCCAACACACCAAAATCTTCTAGTATGAATCTGTGGAAGAACGTAAGTACTTCTTAACAAGAGAGATCACCAACTTTTACTCAGATGCAGCTGTCTTGAATAAGCAAGACGTATGGAAAATCGATCTCCTTGTTCCCCAAACGCCTTGTTACTGATGGAATGTTCAATAATCGCATTCTTACCCTGCCTTGTCGAGATAGCCTTGAACAAATCCTCTTCTTTTTTAATGTACAATTAAGTAGTTATTTCAGTTTTGTGAAACGGTTATTCGACACTTTAATATAGAGCTACTTTTCCTGTATTTGGAGCCTCAACTGTAATTTCAGCACCAAGGACAGCTTATAATAAACCATTTAGGGTGTGTGAACATCATCATTAGCATCAAAGGTATCCCCTATGGCGGGGCACGAAGGCACATACCGGGGGACTCGTTTACTTAAATGTTTAATCTCATGTGTGTAATTATACACGAGCTACATGATTCTTGTGCTGGGTATAAAGCTTATCTCTCAGAACCATTAAGAGAGTCACCGTTTCACCCTGTGGATGAAATCAACGCGTAGAATGGCACTTTCAGTTAAACTTAAAACCTAGAGAAAAATCTGTACATGTTTTATATTAAGTCATAAATAGGCAGATGGCTTTATTCATGAAATCAAATAACATACAACATATTCTTAAACAACTACGATATAGTCAATACTGTAACAATGTTTAGCACATAGGAAAGGGAAACACAGTTGAGAACACCAAATCAAACGTACAACCCACAATCTTCAATAATCACCTTAAACAATACCCACTTCAAATTTTCAAGACTCTTTATCACAACTGTTAAAACTTTTCTATATATCTCATCATCTGTCATTTTCCTTTAAATTCTATCTAAGTACCTTAACGTTTGTCACTATACCTTGCTTTACCAATCTCCTACAAAATATAAACAATTCACTCTGTTTTCATAGTATTGTGATCACCATTTCTACAAAATCTAGCTAGCTACCTTGAGAATTCGTTTTCTTGTCCTTCTTTCTTTCTTTTAGCAGCTAAAATTACAGCATGGATCAACAACAAACCTTTGATGGTTTACCCCTAATTTACATGTTAACGTTTGCAAGACTCTTCCTCCGAGCATTGAGACCACAACTGCAGTTGTAGATCCAATGTTACATATTCTATCATAGCCTGTCGATGTTTGGTACAGGAATGACCTTGGGCTGGCTATAATTCGGAATGTTGACATTCTGCCCTCTGACAACACTTGGTTCTCCTGGAATACAGATTTTTCTGAAGAAGCCTGTGATAGATTCTTCTGTAAAGTGGAGAGTGAAGTGGTGCAACCATTCTTTGACATTCTACAGTTGATAAAAACTACATAAGCCACTTCTGTTACTGTGATGTACCACGTACCCAGTGATGTATGTATTCTGTGTTCAACAGTAAAATTTCAACATATTGTGAGATACAAAAAACGAAAAAGTCAAATCTTGTTGGCTGCTGAATATGTCTTGTCTGACACACACAAACTGGAGATTTTCCAAATTCCACCTGATTATGATATATTAAGTACACCACAGTAAAACCCATGACACCTTAACTATGGCACAATTCTCCTTATAAAGATATCCTCAAAATACATCCCTCAGCTACTCATTCTTTCAGCAATTTATTAAATCTTTCATGACCAGCAATGTGTTCACAAAGCAAGCCCTGTTATTTGGTACAAATCTGTTCTGTAGTGCAACAAACTCAACTGAATCATGGTGGCACTGGACCAGCAGTAGTATTATCTAGCATGTCATTTTTAGTATTTTCCATCATAGATATATTTTCGTATAGTATTTAAACAGCCAAACTAGAAACAAACATATATGTATGGGATTATATATATATATTATCCTTGATTTATGGAATAACAAATTTGTTCACTTTTTTGGAATGATAAGCAGCATTAAGCTGGATTACAAGCTCAAAGGCCATATTGAGCAATAGAAAATATCAATGGCACAGGAAAATCAACACTGCAAATGATTTCAAAGATTAACTAACGGCCTTGGCAAATGGCCTTGCTTTCCACAGGTATACCTGTCAGCTGTCAGTTGTCAGCCCACCCCTAGCTAAACACACTGCATAACTACCGTCTCCTCTACTCTTATAATGATTGTGGTATTCAGACAACCAGAAGTAAGGAATATCTTCATGCTAGTGGGCATTGTAATCTGTGGAAAATGGTCCACAATTGGCAAAAAATGTGCCATACACCCACCAAAGTGGGTTACTTCCCAGGTATAGAAGTGCATACATTTTAACCAAGGCCTGAAAAGAATTATTAGCTGTAGTTTCAACCTTTTTCAACATTCCAGTACATGTACTTGACTACGCATGTTAGCTTCACAGCCCTGCGTTGGTGATGTTCTGACCCACAGGTGGTTGGAGGTGGTTGATCACGTAGTAGTCATGTAGGTACATAAGGATGGCAAAGGGCTGTCCAACAATCAGAGACACCCACACAGCCATGTTTCCATATGGTCCAGTCAAAAACTTCGATACAAACACTGCAAAGGGAACCTACAAATGAAGCAAGCAAAGTTGAAGACATGTGAGTAAACAAATGCAGCATCTGTCCAAAAAATTGGTGATCTAGATGTCCTTTCCAATGTTTTTGTCTTCAACTTGGTCAAATATACCACCAGTACTCCTAAAATTAGCCATCCCTTCAGTAGGAATTTTAATGATACATGTACTATAAATGCTCATGCTACTACGGTTAACTTTGATTTATATTCATGCACATTTATGTGCGTGCCACCATTTGTCATCATACTAACATGTGGTAGAGCTCAGTTCTAACAAGATGATACATGGACTGTCAGAGGCACAGCCATCAGCTGTAATCTAATTACATTTGTCGTAGACAGCCATGGCTGTCACAGGCTGGCTGCCACAGAAGTAATTACAGGGAAGTTTAGCCTTGCTTTGAAGTCGATGACTTTATCCTCGCAACCTTGAATTGCAGAGATTATCAAAAAGCATGTGAGACAAGGTTTACATGTAAATTAGCTGTGGAGGGCACTCGTGTACAGAAAGGGTGCTCTTTTTATTGTACCAAACCTTTGGAAGATTCATACAGAATTCAGAAAATGTTTTCGTTGACATGCTAGCCATCTGATATTCCTGTCTGTTGTTGAGTCTGCATCAACAATTGACTCAAATATATACATAATCAGATGCAAATACACATATCAAACAATAGATGTATTACTAGTACCTGCATCAGCATTCCCATGAAAGCCCACCAACGAAACATCCTCAGAGGAACACTCACAAGGTACTGTAACACAGCAGGGGACAACATGGTTAATACTGAGACACTCTGGCCAGCTTATATTTTACATACAGATCAACTATCACTATTATCAGTAAGTACTTTACAAAACAAGTAACAACAGAACTGACATTCAACTACATGGAAAAGAAGTGTAATAAGTTTAGTTGCTACTGTTAGTATTCTTTACATACATGTAGAAACAGAACTGTACGGTGTTGCCACCAGGGGTATGTTGGCAGCTATGACTTACAAAATAACCATGTTAGCCAAATTGACAGGACTATTTCAATGAGACCACAGCCTGATGTATCGTCGAGGAATACTGAAATGTCGGATGTCGCCAGTATAATTGGAGCAGACGATAATGGTAGTTAAATCATCCCAAATAGTAGTTGTCTGCAAAATTGATTGCAACAGTTCGTTGACATCGTAGAATGAAACATTGTCAAGGATGTTTCAATAGCCTGATGCACAGTGAGGAGCACGGGTGCCACTATGTAACTCAATATGAATGGCATTTCTCTCTGGATTGGTGCTGCGTATATCAAAGAAGCCAAGCCTTGCAAGAGAATGACTGCAAATATAGAATCAATAATGGCAGCCTAAGACAAATGACATACATCTTTCTTAATCTCCAAGACCCCACTCAGACTGCGCCCGGATGTAAGCTCTGGATGAATTTTCTGGAAACTTCAAGTTCCTCTGAGAAATTCAGGTCAAATCTAAATGTGTTAAACCTGGTATAAATCTGGAGCTGGGCCAGCATTTCTCATGCAGTGTCTAGACAGAAGAACCCTGAGTTCTTACAAATAAAGGTATGTGGAAGCTGACACTCAACCCAAAAACTGGTTCTCAGACCAGCTTAAAAATCATCCTCAGAGTCTGATGAATGCTGAAATGATAAAAACCCAATTCTGCATGCAGACACAAGGCTGAAATTGCGTTACAAACCAGCTTCTGAGAACCTGGACTGAATTGACAAAAATCAAGTTCAAGTTAGTACAACCCAAGGGAAAGTCTGACTGATAAGAATCTACCAGATAAACACTGTAGCCAATATTCTTGGGCCTTGCTGTGGGACAATCCTGGCACCTGAATAATGGCTGTGCCTGAAGGTATACTTCACATGAAGACCTGCAATTAGGATGTTCCGATGTTTCTGTTAATGGCAACTGATGCCACGGGCCATACACTACACATCCACCCTTAATTCTTTTTTAATGGAGATGTGAAAATAAAGCATTAGGAGGACCATTACTGTCCCAAGAATTGCTATCTATTTCCCATTTTCTGTAATGGGCCGACATATGGCTCAGTTGCTACTTTCTGTTCTTCCTTGCTACTTCCGGGATCAATTTTTTTTCTGTATAGCTGCATCTGACATCAGTGCATTCTAGTACCAAATTTGACACAACTCATTTTCTTTGGCTTTCTGTCCAATAAAATCACTTTTCAATCGACAGTTAAAGACAAATGTTCCTAGTAGTATCATTTTCAAATTTGTTATCTGTTGTATTCAGAGATTACTACTCTAAATGAAAGACATTATACCACTACTGGCCACAAGTCACCCATTGTCTAAGGCTGGTTTCATCATGGCCCAGTGTGGAGGATATTACATGTACATGAAGGTGCAGATAGATTTAACTAAACCAATTGAGCTACCTGCATGACCTCACTTTACCTGAACATCTTGTACATGCAAGTGTTATTTCAAGCTCTGTTATGAAATCTACTGATGATTTATTGGGTGTGCTTTTGTTTTATTGTGTGTGATTTGCTTCATTTGATTTTTGTGCCGTGAAGCATGGAGTTTGGCAATTGGCCTAGATTCTAATATAGATATCTCTGACGTTTCAAAAAAGTCAATACTCTGTTATTGAGCACATGCCATCCATTATACCACCAAAAGACTGCCAAGAAAAGTTTTGAGGCTACTTCTGGTCTCTCCTTTTCTTGCAACATTTACCCGTACTTGAAAGAACACAGACAATACAAACTTTTACCACTTAGTTTGAACCTTCATCCTTCCAGGGCAAATGCAAGAAAAAATACTCTACAAATATGTCTTATATATCCACTGTAAAACAAGACTGCAAACCTTACAGACTTGCCCTCCCTCCATGATTTTCATTTTGAATGAACTGTAGACAGATCAAAAGAAAACAAGGGCATTGATTTTGAAGGCATGCCTTTGACAAAGATACCTAGTGACACTGTATTGGAAAGTTGATACTAAAATCATTGATAATACTGTCCAGTCATCATTAATGTATGGCTAACTTTCTGGGGCAACCATAAAGATCATTTCACATTTGCAGGTCATTTGAGTCCATGGGCTATCTATTGATTCTGGTATGATGGTGTGACAAACCATTCATCACAATCACTCTGTATATTCAGTCACGCGCCACGAAACACATCTGATCTTGCTCATTAGGTGAGGCAACCGATCAGTAAGTCGTTATGTTCTATGAAAATGTAATTAAAGACTCTGCATTCATAATACACATTGCTGAAGTTTTGTTCTATGGAAATGCCATCCTTTGTTAAAGCTAATGGTATACATTTCTCACTCTCTGACTCACTCAGGACCGCATGCTCCGGGGAGCGTCGCGCCAAGTTGACTTCCAGATGGTTCTGTCCTGCGCCCTCTGCCATTATGTGGCTGCATCAAGGCCCACTATGCTGAAGTCTGCACTCAGCTGGTCTCCACATTTGATGGTAATAAATAACATTAACTGCTGCTCTACTCAAAGTCTCTCATTTGAAAGATACCTGAGCTTGATCAATGATCTCATGGTCAATTAAAGCCACTGGCTACAGTGAAATCAATACCTTCAGAATCTATATATCAAATGTATCTTTAAAACTTGCAGAGCTTTCTTTTTCAAGATGATCAATGCTAACCTGCCAAATTTCACACCTCCAAAGAATTCTTCTGAAGAAAATGACAGTAAAAGCCTGTCCTTCAAGACATATAGACACTTGATGTTCGCACAGGGCCAAGCTCTAGGGAGACATAATAGAGAGTACGCATGCCTTTTTCAATGAAGTGCACAACTGTAGCAAGCCATTTCAAATTCACCATTAATCAAAGCCAGCTGCTCTAATGCAAGGTTAATGGTTGTCTGGAAATTATTCATGAAGTGTAATTGGTGACTTTAATTCTACTTATCACTTTATTTGTTATCCTGAATTCATTGTCAAGCATTATTGAAGTTATTATGAAGAAAGCATTATGTATAGATATGTTATTGTATACTAGTAACTTGTTTCAATATTCAATATATGTTTGTGATTTGCAATTAGCCTCCGGGCATGAATTTGCAATAAACTTTTCATTGAAAATATAACAGTGGGGAGTGTAATACATAGTCGAATGCCAGATTGCCTGAAAGTTTTGCCAGACACCAAATGAATGCTAAAGAAGAATCCAATTCAGTATTTCCCAAAGCCTTACACAAGAACATTTTTAATCTACTGCTAATCATTGCTGGACTTCCTGAATTTTCCGTCAAGCTTTGCCAACTCTCCTAAATTTACCATTAAATGTTGCCAACATTCAGTTGTAACAGGCATATACCTTCCCTCTGGTCTGGTCTGGTCTGGTCTGGTCTTAAGTAATAAAGTAAGCACAAGCTTTGCCAAAGTACTACTGTTGGCAAAATTGATAGGAAGACTTACAGTGGCCGATATAAAGTAGATCCAATCATATACTTTCCTACACTTCCCATGTTGTGGGGATTTAAAAACCATTACCAGGCTTACTGCACATGATTGAATCATACCTTAATACACTGTTTGCCTGCCTAAGTAGTACCAGTCCTGACCTACTTACATGTGTTTGCATAATATTACTCATTTAAGCAACTTACTAGGGAACACAATATACAGTGATGTTAGAAACACTGTATCTCGAGATGTACTGTTAGGAGTGGGTTATTGCTAAAAACATTTTCTCTAACAGATGCAGTAACTGCATTTTGGAGTAGGAGCTGATCTTTATCTACAACTTCCCACAACAGGTTTTATAGGAGATGTTCTTTCTATACATGAGGAGAGGTTCTTTCTATACATTGCTGATAGCTGAGCCCGAGGACATCACTTGGCTTTCCTACTACGTCTCTGTACTGCCTTTAGCCAGATGTTTCACATGTATCCATCTCTTGTTGTGTCTGTGCTAAAAATACATGTACCTCAGGAGAATTCTACACAAAAGGATCATCCAAGAGACCATCCGCTAGTTTTTCTCCAGGCTGTCATTCAGGTAAATCCATGAAGCTGGACCAAAACGCTTCGGTTAAAGGCAGCCGTACATTTGACATGACAACATGGCAGATAAACATGAGTTTCAGGTGCCGGTGGCTCAGGAAAAAAGGAAGTTGGCACTCTAAGTATTATCTTTAGCCCAAACACATGCATCATACACTTACAATCATCCAGACTTGACTCATCCAGGGCAAGCAACAAAGTTGGCATGGAAGTAAAAATACATCTATCATGGAGGAAAACCTGGACCTGAAGGATGCATAACGTATAAGTGCTCACATTTCTCAGACAACTGTGCATTGTTGCATCTATAGAACACTGCTCAAAGTTGGAGTTGAAGACAAACCACAACATAAATTTCACATGTGACTGGGTCTTTGAAGACACAAAGGACCTTTTCAGTGAAGTCTATTGATTTACTTTTCATAGGGTCCAAGTTGTTCCACACTATAGCCAAGTTGATTATTCATGTCATATTATTGCTAACAGAGGGGGAGGGTGCATACATGTACATCAAGAAATATTGATTTATTGAATTACCAGTGACCCTTCCCACATAATCCTTCAATATTGGCCTCACTGCAAGTTGCCTGACACAGACTTTGATAATCCTTCAATTAATAATAGTTCGAGCATATTTTACTTTTGAATGAAAAGGCTAATGACTTTTGGTGATGGAGCATACTCTTGTAACAGATGTCTTCATTAATACAAAATGTACCTGATGTGAT